TATATTATTATTAATATATATCATATACTATTTATTCTATTATATCTACTAGGTATTCTAGTACCATAAACACAGCTTAACAGTCATAGGACTTCATATTTTTACCCTGTAATATTGTGCAGTATACATTAAGAGCCCATTTAAATACTCTACAATCTCAGCAGGCAGAAGTATCTCAATTTTGGCATGTTTAAATTTGTTTGGGTACTGGCAGCACTGAAATTTTTAAACAAATGTTGCTAGGCAAAATGTCACATTGGAATTGTAAATATCTGCCTAAGTAAACAGGAATCAAGGTTTGAGAGAACAACCAGAAAAACCACAACACAATGTGGTACAAGCTGACAGTGATGAACCTTGGCTTCTAAGGCTCAGAATCCAATTTCACCATGGGAAAAGTACACTGAAAATCTACCACACGCTTCCAAACATATTAACATGTGGCATCTTTTACATATTGAGTTGCAAATGAAGAATTAAAATTTCTTTAACTAACAGAACTTTCCAATAAAAGTTGGCGGATTGACTAGAAGATTGTACTTAAACCATTTTGTGCATTCCACCCTATCCCTCTGTCATGTAACCTGACGCGTTGTGGGTGCCCAGAACGGCAGTGTTACATACACTGCCGATTCAGGATAAAAAAATTAGGTGTGCAAATTGAGAACGAATCATATGACTGATTCTTTGGTTTCTAACCCAGTGTGGACAACATACTGCAGTTTGTTACAAACCTCAGAGTTTCTAGCAGATGCTGTGGCTATGTACAAATACTCCTTTTGAGATATTACGAACCTGCTAATTTTCTAAAGATTTTTTTCCTGTTGGTTATTTTACAAAAAAAATTTTATAATATGGAGTTAGAAATAGATGAAAGAGGAGTAAGTTACAGAGAAAACACAAAAACATTGAAAGAAAATAAGGATAATGAGAAGGAGACATTTAAAAGTAAACACCCAAATTCCATCTTATGAATTACAGCTAAAAGAAGAAACCCAAAGGAAAGAGCATATGAAACTAAAAAGATTAAGAAGGTACCAGTGATTAAACACAGACTGATAAAAAAAAATAATCACATGGTTTTTATTACAATTCCCAGAAGACTGCCAGTTCCATAAATGGTCAGTCACCATTTAATGTGCTTATTTATTAGACAATGCTTTGGAAGTGGTTAATACAGTAACATTTTTCTACTACTAACTTTAATATTGAATTTTAAAAGCTGATTATAACTGAAGAATAGTTCACAACTATTTTACTCTTTCAAACTGTCACAGACAGACTGACACAGGACTGACACAGATGTTTTCTACCCTGACTAGAAGTATTTTTTTCAAGGTCATAATAGATGCAGAAAGCACTTAACATTTATGTCTGGATCTTAAATCAATATTTAGTCATAACATCTATATAAATAATATGTACTTATTTTACATTAATACAACCTACCCAAGGTGTTACACACCCATACATACTTACAGATACACATATTCTTACACACACACTCTTAACAACCAAGTGTCCACACTCTCAAATCACCAGACACTTCTTATGTGATCTATACGCACGATTATAACCTCTTACTTTGGTAGTGTTCAAAACTACTATAAATCTGCCTCCAGTGAATTTCAAGTCTAACCAAAAAGCTCCAAAGTATGAAAAGACATTACCTGCCAGCTATTTTCTGTAAAAAGCAAAGCATGCAGAAAGTTCTTTGGCGTGGATTAGAGACCTTGAAAGAAACATTTTCGTTTTGAGAAAGAAACCCCAGAAGTAGAATAGTAGAAAAAATTCTTACCTCCCCATTTTCAAATGTAATTTCGCGAACTAGTGGTACACATTTATCTTGTGTCCATGCATAAATCAAATCGAAATTGGTTAGCGAGCCTAAATACACCATATCTGGAGCATTTTCCTGTTGAAAAGAAAAATATACTAGTTGAGAAACAGTAAAAATGACATTGCTGCCTACAAAAAAGATTACCTACCTGACAAAGTAATGATATCCATATAAATATTGAAAGCCAATCTTACACCAATATTCAACCCTTGTGCATGCAACAATTCTAGTAACTGTTACAAAAGTACAACAGGAAAATAAATATTATATATGATTATTTACCCAGCCAACCCCACTTTTTAAGGCAACTTAAGATGAACTGGAAAGATACTTTGTTTCCAAATTAGAGATGCTTCAAATAAAGGCTATTTAGACTTCTGTTAGGTTGAGAAATAGTGTCTCCATACCTAAGAAACCCATTTAGATATAAACTAAATGCAGATATTAAGCTGCTTCATGCTCATAGGTACAAAGACTCACCAAAAAAACCCTCCAAACGTCCTACAGGACTTGAAACTGATATTTTACATTTGCCTTGCCAAAGAGGTATGAATAAATAACAGTTTTCCTTTATTTGCTAGTAGTTTTCACTCTGAATTCAGTGCTGCCATCTTTTAATGTAATTACAATTTTTGTTAACATGAAGTGACGCATGACTTTGCAAGCTGTGGGCATGATTAAACACATCTTAATTCAGAAATGCCATATAAATTAGGTAACCTAATAAATTCTGGTTTTGCAGAAAAAGGTTTGAAAGTCCCTCCCCTCTTAGGTGTGTCTTTATTTCTCTTTTGTAAGCAACTCTTTTCATACGTTAAATTCAAGAAAGGAGAAGGTTTTTCAGATATTAATTAGGTTTCTAAAAAGCAATTCTTGCAGAATTTCTTCTGTACTGAATTTTTCCTCAAGTAAAACTATGTTTATGAGAGTTGTTAACATACAATTAATTTTACCAATTCCTTTTTTTTTTTTAAAAATTAAGAGAGGAGCTCTTCACCTTTGTGGGCTAAGTCACACAAGACTGGCAAATGACAGCCTGAGAAATACTTAGTAATTGTCACTTGCTTTGAAAAACATGAAGTGCACTACCTGCTAAGATTTCTACAGAACACAAAGTATCTATATACGCGTCAACTGTGTTTCTAAGAAAAGAAAATTTCTGGACATTGACATTTAAAATGTCAGATTTAGGTCTGTGCACTTAATTGGCAATGAATGAGACAGATCTTTTTCACTGACTCAGAAACACTAGTTCCTATAGCCCTGTTTCTCACAATATTTAGTGACAAAATAGAATTAAGAATTGAGATGCAATAACGTACTGAATGATCCAAATATAGACTCCATTAGTTCATATTCACATAAAATGACAATAAGCAGAATAAAATACATAGTTACACTTACCCCTGGTGGCTTGTAGATTACATTGTCTCCGCTAAATCTCTCTGCTTTTGAAATAGCCCTACAACAAACCAACCAGTAAGCATGTCTTGGTACAGACAAAATAACTGAGATACCAAAAACCATATTTTAATTTGCTGTCCTTTCTTTACTACTTTGTTTTCCTTCAAAATCTGAGAATTGAAATCCTTCATCTTTAAAGTAAACTGTACAGTGACTCCACAGAAACCTGGCCTGGCTAGATAAGGGGGCATCAAGGCAGTCAGCGAGATGTATCACTAAGATTAAAAGTGTGGACAAAAGGCATCAATGTGCAAGTGATGAATGCTGCTACAATTTTGGATAAGAAACTATCACAGAAAAATATGAATCAATTAATATAATCACATAAATAAAAAAATATAAAAATACCTGTTCTTAAGGAAGGAAAGGAGAGAAAGGTGGATTTGTGTTTGCATTTACTTGTCCTCTTCCATTGTTTATGCCAGAAATTTAAGTCTTCTCTATCCTGATAAAGAAGGGCTCTGAGGTGCTCTACCGGCACAGGCAATGAGAAAATAAGCCCACACTGTCTATTTTACCCTCAAAACAGATCTAGAGAGCACAAGACACAGCATGCAGTTTCTGACCACTGATGATAAGGTATGTGTGTACCTGGAGAACACATGCAGTTCCTCCTTGGCATTCAGCTTAGTATGTCACCTTAGCGAGTTCCTCCCCTGCCCCTGGAGTGTTTTGTCGTACCTTAACCCCAGTCACAACAGAGCACCCCGATAGCTGCTAGCTTGTACCCCCAAAATTATCACCTCTTATTCAAACAAATGGGGACAGCTATGCATCCAACACAGGAGACAGAAAAAAAATACGGGAAGAAAGCTCTCAAAGATAAACCCTTTCACTGCCTTCAGACATCGAAAGAGGCCTCCTCTCTTCTCTCCCATGCCTTGCTCTTCCAACATAAATCACGTTGGCGCGACAGAGCTGACTGGCTGCATATGCCACAAAAGAGTAAAATGAGCTACCTATTTCTTTTGCTTTTAGCATAGGCTAAAAAGAAAGCATGTCAGCCTCTGGGAAACGTTAGCATCTCTCCTGTGAACTCAATATAAACATTGGTGAAGACTGATTAAGAGATGTAAGAGGAAGGAAAAAAAGAGAAGTAAAAATACCGCAATTTATCTCACTGCAAGATGAGGTAAATCTTGCAGGGGTCTGAACAATTTAGAGGGCTAAGTTAAAAAAAAAAAAGACATCATAAGGCTTAACTGAAATAAATAAACTGTAGGTAGTTTTACTTTATTCAATTATTCTTTTCTTATCACGTACAAAAGACATCTTGCATAGTAAGTTACACCTATCAGTATTTGCACTAGTTTAGAGAATAGTGTTTTAAAATGTGTTTTTGTATTCCAGACATGATTACTGCTCCCATAACATGAAATTAGGCTTCTTTGTCACCTTCGTCACTGAGGTAAACCGCTTGCATGCAAAACAATCCTTCACTGAAGAAGAAGAAAGTGAAGACATAGAAGCCACCTGCCCAATCACTACTTGGTAAACTGATAATAATCTGTAATGAAATATATGCTCTAGGATAAGCCTGCGGTGGAACCCAACCCTTTTAAAACAACCACCAAAATGGAAACACTTCAGTTTGCATTGTCTCTTCTTGAAGCAGTAACATAGAAGGTGAACCTCTTGGAACCCGCTCCCCCAGTATTTGCTTGCTAACATAAAATTAAAGCAGTTCCTAGATTCGTCACTCTCTTCCATTAATTATCTACAGTTCACCACAGCATTTTAAGATGAAAGTATTTTTTGGCTGTTTGTTTTGGTTTTCTGCATTTGGCTTCCTACGCTATGGCTCAATGGCACAAGGCCATTCTCTTCCACATCTACAAACATTTCAGATTTATCCCTCTCTAGGTCTACTTCTAAAATCTACCTCTAATATTTCTTCATCAGTATCCCCTCCTATCTCCTTCTGCTTAGAAGTCTTCTCTCATTAATGTTACTCTGCGGTCACCTGAGATCTTAACAGAACTGTAAGGATCAGTTGATTTAAGGATAGTTTTAAGCATCAAGATGACCTCCAACTAAGTATCATTAATACAATTTAAAAATAAGCTATTGCAACTATCTAAAACCAGAATAATTTTGGCATAGCAGGGAACAGTTCTGCCTTAGCAAAGTAATTATTTTTTTCCTGTCAAATTCATTGTTTTGAATTTATTTTAGCTTACTAGAAGTTTGAAGGTAATAGCTTACATTACCACACACCTCCCAAACCATGTACCTGTTGAAATCTGGCCGTAGCAAAACCAGAAATCACTCCCAGGGGCTGTTAGGATGCTCAGTCAGAAGAGCTCCACTGATCAGGGTCAGCTCCCCATGAAGTATTTTTGCTATGTATAAACTGAATAGAAAACACTTATATAGCCGCTATCTCCCTTGGAAGTCTTTTCACATACAATTTTTTAGGAAGCTTAAGAGTCACAGCCACTCAGAGATTAAAATATTTAGTTTCCAATGTTGCAGTCTGGAAGGCTGCACTTTAAAATACTAACAGCTCCAGGCTAGAAAGGGAATAGGAGTACAGAGGCAAGGATAACAACAAGCCTGCTGTGCAATCTGTAGTTATATGGGCAGGTTGCAAATAATCAAATTCTGATCTGTTCCATTATGTTTGCTTATTACTTATATCTAAAGAAAAAAAAAACATAATAACTACTTCAAGAATGGCATCCAACAACCAAATGCTAACACTGTGTGGTGGGAGACTATTTCTCATTATATGAAGCTGACAAATAGCAAGACAAAGATGAACAGACTCAAACAAGAGGAGGGAGAATCTTAAAAGTATTGTTATCTTACTAATGATTTTTTAAAAAAGCATTCCTGAAAAAAATGAAAAGTCATATGAGGGGGCAAAAAATGATTTCAAATTCTAATAACAACTCAGACTGGCTGTCCTGAGAACAAGCATGGATGCACTCATCAGAAAATATTTGAGATAATGACCACTCTTTGAGGATAAGACTGACAGACCTACAGACCACAGATTTACAAGATTTGATTATTCTCTCGCAGCCAAGGTTGCTTACATAGTCACAGGATACCTAATTGGGAACTGAAGAAAAGCCATGTGTAGTCCTGCACATTACAAATAGTCTCCCCAACCCCCAAACATTTTTTTTGAAACATACTGGAAGAGGCATCAGTGACTGATGACAAATTTTGTTCGAACAGATGAAACATTTTCCATTTTGATACATCCTCTCAGTTTCTCCACTATTCTTCACTACAACCAAGTAAAAAAAACACTTAGGGCAACTGTACATGGTATAAAAGCTGGTGTAACCCATGCAAGTTCCTGATCTTGCAACTGTGGGTAGACTGCCAATCACTGCACTCACATTAATACCTAATCACTTTAAGATGGTTGGTGCTGGCACATTAAACACTGCAGAAAGAATCTGTAATTGTCTTTTATTATGATCCTTAAACAGGGAATCACTCATTCCCACTGTATTCTTCTTCCTCCAGTGAAGATCTTTTAATATTTTAAAATATTGCTGTAAATCAGTATAACAAGGAGAAATTTGAATTTCTGTAGGTTGTTCTAGACTCACATTATGTGCCGTGACATAGAACTCACATGAAACAGACCCAGACATCTTGAAACAAGGTCCTCTCCCCTGACATTTAGAGGAAATGAGCAAGCAACTACTGAACTATTCTTTCCAGAAAAAAACCTACAAAAATTGTCATATTTTAAAGAAAAAATTTGAAGTACCAAAAAAAAAAAAAAAAAAAAAAAAGAGTGCTAGTTTGTAAAGCTATTAAAATTTTTGCCAAAAAGTTTTCAAACTCTTCCCTCCTTGTTACTCTCTCTCTCCAAAGCAGCAGGTTTTTGGGACACAACTGCCTAGCACCCCCTCCCTAAAAGCTCCCCAATTATATTTAAGCTGTACTGACAAGGAGTGGAAAAAAAAGAAAAAGGAAGCAAAAATCAAAGTTGGATTTCATAGCAAACATTAAGTCTCGGAGGATTTCTCTCCCCCCTCCTCCTGTCCTTCTCTCAGTGTTTTTATCTGTTAAGATGTAGTCTCTTCAGTTATGCCACACAAAATATTAAAGAAGTCCATTTAATTAAATTATATACAACTCATTAATATAATTTCAATAATGAAGTCATGCAATCAACAAATTTTAAAACTTACCCAAAGGCAGACAGGAATACACAATCATCATGCAAAATATTTGCTACTCTTTCAAAGGTTCTGTAATTGTCAGAGTCCTTTTGCTCAAAGTATCCAACAATATTTCTTCTACTGCGCTGTAAAAACAAAGGTTAATTTATAACTTACCTCAAGTTATCAAGAACTATCATTACTCCCTAAGGTTATTAGATACAGAGGTGCCATTCATTCAACAGTCAATAACTGCGCAGAATTTATTTCTTTTCTGCCTTTTCAATATTAAGAAGCATTCTTGTGAATATTTTTCCAGTGAGGAATATTAGAGGTATCTTGTCAAATACAACATATGATTCTTTTCAAATGATTAAAAGTAAAATAAGTAATTTGGCAGTTACTGTAACAAAATGAATGCAGTTGGAAGTGATTATATTGGAATAAATTGTAATACTGGAAACAATCCAGTTTTCCACTCAGTTTAAAAAAGCACAACATTTCTGAATGGAAAAAAAGAATTAAACATGTACTTCAAACACATTATGTTTCACCAGTTCAACATTAAAAAAAAAAATATTTAGAAGGAATAATATTGAAAGACTTACATCAAGAGAACTAATTTCTTCCAAATCCTGGACCTCCCGAATAGGGTTACTCTTCTGCTGCCTGATATAATCTGCTATTGCTGTCACAGATCTCTGGCCCCTGTATTCTCTCTTCATCATCATTCCATTCCGGAAGAGTTTCAGAGTTGGATATTTACTTATCCTGTACCTCTGAGCTATATCCGCTAAAAAGAAATTAAGAAAATAAAACCAGTACCCTACAAATACAGAAATACACTTAACGTGTTATCTTATACATGTATACATGCGCACATAAGCGACATACTCTGAACCAGTAGTTCCACATCTTTAAACAAGTGCAAACTAAAAGAAAAAAACCCCAAACACCGCAATCGGAGAGAGAACGGATAGCAGCTACTGTATTTGTCACATGTACTGATCTTCATTAAAATATCATGACCAAAATCTGCGGTAAGCAAAGACTCAACTTGGTCAGCTATAGTCATGTAATACACTTCTTAGGAACAACTAGGAAAGCCAATTTAAGAGCATAACAAGAACATGAGAATCTTAAAAGGTCGACAAATCTCAGTTAATTAATCCACGTGAGAAAATTTTAATAAAATAAATGATCTCCTATTTTTCTTTAAACTCACTATGATTTTTAGCTCGATTACAGTGCTGGAAATAAAATTGTCATGTCTTAAATTTTCGAGACCATGAACTGCATGCAAAATATTTCTTGAAGCCTAGGAAGGCCAGAAGACTGCTGTTACAGTTCTGAGCTGTTCGGGTTTTGAACAAAGACTAAATTTCAGGTTTCAAAATTAAGGCAAACACCTCTCTGGTCAACCACTGTCAGCATTCCCTTCAAGGCAGTTCTTCATTCACATCTGTAAGTGCAGCTCAGCTTTCTTCTAGACTTGGACCAGACAGAGCTTCATACAACACAGTAACACGTATTTGCATTGATGTAGCATAAGAGCACTAGCTATTTTCACCTTTATACAACAGGTCAGTTAAGTTATTTATTCATGAGACTTACAAATGTAAAAGAAGAATAAAAAAATGGAAAGAAGTTTTACAGTAAAATTAGAAGAGCAGCCAAGAAGAAAGCCAATCAGAAGCAATGAAGCCCAGCTTCTCATGAATGTGCATCTTCAATCGCTACTAAGGCAATAATCTGGTTCTTCACTATGCTCCACCGGAGTATTTCAAGTGTCCCTTTGTCCCTTTTCCACTCTGGTTAATCACTGGGAGGCAGCAAGTTGCAATAGGTGTTGCAGCTAGCTGCCAGCTACACACTGATGGGGAAACTTACACGTAACCAGGAAGTGGTTCATGGTGCACTGAGCATGATCCGTCAACCTTGAGTTTTTAAAGCAGCTTTTGCTACAGTGCAGAAATTGGTTTTGTGCCTCTCCAGTATCTAGCAACTTCTTTAATCAAAGTTTGTAGGTACTTAATAGCTTTGAATGCTCTTTCAAGTTCAGCAAAAAGCTTCAAGGAGTTTTTATGAGGAAGGACTAGAGAAACAAGGTAACCAGATACACTTCGGATTCTTAGGAAAATAAGACTAAAAACAAACAATAGAGACAAAGCATGTAATGCCAAGTAGATTTCCACAAGCACTTTCCTTTTGCTTTGTTTAATTATGCCCTCCTGTTCATTCCTCCCCAGGAAATATATCGAGAAACAAACAAACAAACAAACAAATCTCACAGCCCCTGTGAAAACTGGGTGTCCTCTATTACAGGGTGGGATGCAGTTTACCTAAACCTCAATCCTGTTTGTACTTAAATCCAACTAAATCCCCAAATATGAGCAGCCTGCCCACTTTCCAGAGCTGCTTAATCCTTGGAGGTGACTCACTGCAGTCACCCACACCCAACCTGCTTCCCCTTCTCCCTTTCTCTCTCAAGGAAAGAGAACTTCAGTGGACTGATTTCTCCTTTGGAAACAAAGAAGTTTCATCTGGTCAACAGAGCGAGGAAGGCATTGAAAGTGTGGGCTGAATGCATGTCCTGTTACTTTTCACTGGCTCCTTAGAAGTTAAAGGGTACACTTTAGGTGACCTGGATTGGCCCACAGTAGGAAGGCAACCAAATCAGGGTCCATCAGTATCTGGCACAGTACTGAACAATGTAAAAACTGAACTTTTGTGACAAGAACGTCCCTTCTTCTCAACTATATGTTTACCAAGAAGCAGATTTGCTTTCTATCTTACACTTACTCTTTTTTAAAGAGAATGGCGACAGAAGTCCTGTGAAAACTATTATTTAGAGGCAGCTGCCATGACCAAACTGCTGAAGCTGAACAGCTAACACACACCTCTCAGCTGCAAACCAAAATGAAATTCCTGTGCAACTGGAAATAAGACAGTCCCCTGTGGATCTGTGCTGGTAACCATCCCCCCGCACATAAAGCTCTCTACCTCTTTCAGACTTTTAAGAGATAACAAAAATAATTAATTCCCTGCTGTCTGGAAAACACTCAGTGAAAAAAAAAAAATCAGTAGTTTTAATTGATGTTAAAAAGCCATTAATAATAAAACATATAATATAATAACATAATAATAAACAATAATAAAACACCCACTGTAAAGACTGAATTCATACATTATTTCATAAGTAAGAACTTGCATGCTCTTTACAAATTACACTGAGATTCCATGAATACTGGTATTTGAACTAACACAGAGAGATGACGGTCCGACACAAGTAAGTATTTGAAAACCATCTTTTTACAAAATATAAAATGCAAGTACATGAAAAATTGTTTGAATTCATTCAAAAGTCAAATAGAGTAAACCTTAAATGCTTCATTAAACCCTGGCATTTGATACAGGTATAGTTAGCATAAGCAGAGCAACTACAAAATTATATTCCTTTTAAAATTGGAAATACACAATGCAAATATATGGAATATTGTTTGAACTCATTCATAGATTGCATTAGTTATAGTAAACCCTAAATTAAATTTAAAAATATTTCCAGACATTCTCACTGTCCATTTTCTGATAAAAAGAGACATTTGAAACAGATAAGGGTAACCTACCTAAAGAAAAAGAAAAGAAAAAGTCTCTCAGCTACAACTTTACATTTTCTTCAGATACTAAGGTACCCAAAAGGTACAAACCTTGAGTTTGTATTTTGCCCAATTAAACATTAAATTACAAGCTTAGTATCTATGCCATCAGAATGGTTTCACACTAGTTACGGTAGGAAGCTACTGACATACTTGATCTTCTTCTCATCATCTACAAATCAGAAGTTTCAAGCAGAGCTCAAATAACTGTTGAATTCTGATGATTCTCTCCTCCCTGTTTTGCACATATACCTGTTGCTATACAACCATTTCTAAACTGCCCAGACTATGTTCTACTATTCATTCCACATACTCCAACAGGAATGTCTCCACAGTCACTCAGTTCTTTTCAGAGATGCACTGTATTGATACTTTGCCTTGAACTACTGAAGAGAAAGCAAAGCTGCTTCTTACAGTAGGGATGAGACAGCAGTTTTTATCGTTATTTTGAAATAAACATTTACATGAAGCCTGACGTTTATGGCCATGTTTTGTAAGAGTCTCCCAGATCATCTTTCTGAGCAAGATTCTCCAAGAAAGCGTGCTTTATGAACTATTATTTGTGATCCATGTCCTTCTCGTACCTCTTGCACTGCCAGCCATTTCTCTGTTGTCTGAGCCTTGTGTGTTCCTCTACACAAAGGAATACCAAACCCCATCTTTTGGGGGTGTGTCAGGCTTTTCACATGGCACACGCACACACATTATCTAAGCTGCCGCTTCAAGCAAGTGCGTAGCCTGTGATTTGACTGCCAGAATGCTTCAGGCTTCATTGCTCTACGTTAGCACCACAACACACTGTCCAAAGAGTTCAGCTAGTATATCAGATCACATCACTGAGAATCTCTAGTCCCTTGTCACTAAATTAAAATTAAATGTACAATGAAGAATATGTTGAAAAACTGCATCAAGACACACTATATTGAAGTAGGCTCCCATCCACAATGTAGTTAAGAAGGTCCTTCCCACTGAAGGATCAGCAATACTTAGAAGGGTCAGGGTATCACCCCACCATTAACTCAGCCCACTGTCTTAGTCTTCCAGGGTCATAATTCATACCACCACCAAACAAATAGTTAGATTCTGAAGTCTACAGGACTGGGTCTCAAAAAATGTGTCCACTAGGATTTGAACAATATTGCTAATTATCCTAAATGCCCACCTCCACCTGAAGCAATTCACACGTGAGAGGAGTACAACAGCCTGAAAAATTATTTGGAAGACAAAGTTCCAAAAATCAAACCCCATAAAAATAATTTCTGAAAATACTCAGTGCCCCTTTTTCTAAGGAAGGTTTTCATGTTGCCCGAGGAAGAGCTAGCATAAACCCAAACCCAAGATACGGCATTTCCTAATTTTGTTTTTACATCATGATTATAGAAGTTGCATAGCTGCATATATATATATATATATATCTTGACATATAGCTTGAATGTACTGGATCTAACACTAACTTTTTTGGTGTCAAATTAGCTTAACTCTTCCTCACCCTTGTGCAATACCTTCTATCTCAAAAGTAACAAACTCCTTCAGCTGTATATTTGAAGCTGTGACTACCAAATGAGTATTCTGCTTCCTCACTTGAGATCAATCATGTCTTTTGAAGTCCCTCTGGCTACCTGCCATGGCACACCACAGATGAGAAGTGAAATCTGTCTTTAATAGGCACCTTTTTACTTATTATTTCTCAAACTTTTTTCTCTCAGTTTAAGTTCACTTAAAAAGGCCTTTTTGCCTCCTACTTCCCTACATACAGCACTTCATTCACCTTATTATTAAGTATTTCACAATACAGCACTAATTCCCTCCAGTTAAAACTACTCTTGTGACATTTGCATACAACCATAAGACCTGGGAATACTCATAGGGAGCGAAATTAGAAAGGAACTTTAGAGACCATCTAAACGAGGCATCCTACCCCAGGGGTTGTGATACTGGTGACTTGTATGTTCAACCAAAACAGGTACAAGAAAAGCAATTGATGTTCTACATCAGACTCAGCTACTAAGGGGCTGGTAAACAGCAAATCTAGACCACCTTCTGTTGCAAAGGAGCATTCACAACAGCCATGCCTGCTCTTAGAAGGGTCTCATCAGTAGGCATCCCATAACCTTTTCTGACAGGCTAACAAAATGGCTCTCCTGAGGAGAGCCATCAACCATCTCTCTGAATCTCTTCCACTTTTTATTTTATCCAAAGATAACTCTTTCAGAACAATATTTTTTTTCCAGGCAAAGTGGCAGGGATGGAATGAAATCCTCATGCTTGGTTTACAGTTTCATTTATAGTTCATTTATGAACCTCCAAATTTGTTATCGTACTGAGTTACTTTGCTTACCAAAGGCACAGTAGCAATACAATCCAAGTAATTCTTTGAAGACTAACAGTAGTACACATCCTGTAATGGCCAGACCCAGAGAGATCACTGTACTGAATGACAGTGCCACCCATGGACGTTTTGAAAGAAATAAGAGTTCCTTAAACAGTCTGTCTAGCAACCACCAGAGAAAAGTTGTTTTCTGTTTGGAAGCACAAAGACTTATTCAAATGAGCTATTATTTTTTAACTCAGAAACCAAAGGAAGTAATGGTGCAGTAGAATTAAAACCCTAATATATACTTTAATTTATAAGAATTCTGTATGACTTCTAATATTGAATTCATAGAAACTGTTCAAAATACAAACTCGCCTCTTCTACATTGCAATATTCACTCACAGAGAACAGAAACATAGGAAATGCATTGTACCAAGTGAGTTTCCAGCCTTGTTGCTTAACACAAAGGATAAAAAACTCACAAGCAAGCAAAAAACCCCAAACAAAATATCAAAACAAAACCTTCCTAATAAGGTATATGCAGAAAGGTCTGTAATTTTACATGGAAGGTCACTTTTACTAGGCATTACACCTAGAATAATTTTTAAGATACATGAATTACTAAATCGAACACACCAAAACCGCCAGAGATTTTAACAGCAAACGATGTAGTGGAACTTAGATATTTATAAGTTATAAAAGGAAACTGAACGAGTACTTGCTTCAACAGATTTACCTTTAGCGTGCGTTCTACACTAGCTTAAAAAACACCCTGATAACTTACACATTGCAGTTATAATTGTCTTCCACAATATTGTAAGCTGGTGTAAAATATAATACATGAAGAGGCTTAATATAGCGTTAATATTTGGATTCTGTATTTAATCACATTGGGGCCTATCACTTTCCAGAAAAACATCTTTATATTGGCTATAAGAGCAAACAGAATGATGGTTTTGTCATTAAGCATCAAACATTTGACAGTGCATCAATAATTCTCTTTAATTTGCTTTACCCTCAGAAGCTAGTGTGAGCTGTTGGGCCCTGCAGTGTGCTTCAATAATAGTGCATTAAATGGAAAGTATCTATGCCTGGCTGACCATTCTGAAAGCTGTTTTTGAGGGGCCTGAAATGAGCTGTTTGGATTCCCTACAGAGTCTTGGCTTCAAAAAGAAACAGATCAGTTGTAATGCAAATAATCCACCATCTCTAGAACATCATCCTAATAGTGAACTACTAGTGGTATGAAATCTGCAGCATAACAACCCCCAAAATATTGGCATAAACCTTCTAGTGTTGCTAAAATATGTAAACACATACAAAAATGTAAAGGTAAAATGGGGGCGGGGGGAACAGGGACAATAACAATCTTGACTCCAACATTTAGTAAACTACTACAGCAGGCCCAAGCTGGATAATATAGCAACATTCACCCTCTTACTAAAAAGCTGCTTATCACATACATGAAAATCAAAGTTAAAATACTTAGCACTTTAGGACATACCCAATAACCTTGAGCCATGAAATGTATCATTGCTTACAACCCAGTAAATAAACACTAGAAACCAGGAACGACATGTACAGCTTTGCTACCTTAACTCAAAAAGACAATGCAAATGGGGGGAAAAGACTGTGTCTGTCATTATAGGATTTTATTTTTAATTCTCGCATTTTACAGCTTCTGCAGCAGAAATCACGCTCATCTACTTCTTAAAGTAAGGACACAAAGAGTAAATACAGAGAACTCATGATATTCCAGTAATAAAAAGAAAGAGCAAAACTCTTGGCTGCCTCGTACTACTTGGCCCACTACACCTACTCCCAGGGGAAGGAAGACAATCTCTGCTGTAGCAACTCCTCCTCCATCTAGGCCATAGCTCTCTGTAACAAGCCCTGATGGGCTCAATTCAATGAGCATACAAGGAGAAGATTAAGCAGCAAGCCTCTCAAGTGTTTCAAATACTTGGGAGTAGCTGGAAAGGGGGGTGGTGGTGGTGTAAGTTCTTAGGCACGTAACTGCTAAGACAAGAACATCTCATGGTTAAACTCTAGACATCCAGCAGCTCAAAGACACTCTGAGTTACCCAAGCAACTAAAGCTGCAGCAAAGTAAGGACTTCAGTTGTTAATGTGAACCTTAACAAATAAAACTCAACAACACAGGCTGATTTTACTACAGTCTTTTGTGAGAACTTTATAGAAAGTTTTATTGTCAATATCTTGACTCAAAGAAAAGTTGAGCCACCAGACTGTTAAGCACTGAGATAAGACTAATTTATTAGGGACAACCATAAAAATCAAGTAAAGTGAAAGTGTAAATGTCCTTAATTCTCCTCTCCCCCCTAATTGATTCAAGTTAATTTGAGAAACTATCACTGATGAAAGTCATAGAATATATACAGAAGTGTATGCAAAAGTAATTTCAAGTATGTAGAGTGACTGGTCTAATAAGCTGGTATAAAACCAATCAGATTGTTTGCTACAACTACATTTATTTTCTACAACTGCAAAGATCAGGGGCAGTTTATTTGTGTAGATCCTCCAGTAGATCTCTGAACAAAGACAAAAAACTCAGTAAGAAAACTTCAGCAAAGACTGCATATCAGGCTGTGCCTTCAGTGTACTCTTCTAAAGGATTTCATCGCCTTACTTGAAAAATTGACTTTTAGAGACGGCAAATTTGAATTCTTAATGCTGTGTTTTTGGTTAAGATCTCCCAAGCACACACAGATGGGTGACTGGAAGCAGAAGAGAACACCAAGTGTGAAAAAGAAAGAAACTGAGAATGTAGTGAAGTATTTGAGATCTGGGAGGGCATTCCAGGTCCGAACCGCACCCCCCCACCCCTACCCCCACCCAAAACCCAGAACACCAACACCAGAACACCAATCCCAACCCCTAAAAAAATCTATGATGCTAGAAAAGGCTGTTCAGGAAGGAGGTAGGAAAACATTCACGTAACAGAGACAACATTATAATGAGAAAGAAAAAATACTATTGGAATTACAAGTCAAGGAGACTAAAGCAGATCTTGTGAAGCACATGAAGTACAGACACCCCTGTCCATTCTGCTGCTGCTCTGGAAATGCTATGGGCAGTTACACAAGTGTGCTGCTCTACATTGTATTCAAGGCACGAGAAGAGATCTGATCAGTAGAGGAGATTCTACAGCCGTGAATCTAATGTAACTGCTCTTCAAGAACACATACATTCAAGCCTTTGTATAAGTTCCCCAACACATCCCTACCACTCCCATGTAGGAAGGGAATGCTTCAAGGCTGCCCTAGGTGAATACTGTTGTGCCTCTTTTCCAGATGAGGCTATAAAGAGGGTCCAATATCCCAGTGATTCAAAGATTTAATCCTAAAGGCATTTAAGTTTCATGTGGTTATGAATTGATCTTACTGATCTTTGGGAAAGGACAAAACAATCTCCTTGGCCACTCCTGACAATCTGAAGAATCAGCTTCTCTCATATTTCAGAAACCAAGTTGATACTGTTTGCTCCCTTAAAAGTTTTGGCTTTTTTCATGCTAAGATCTCTTTCAAGATCACAAGACAGGTGCTTTTACTGTTGGGCATTGACATGCACACATATAAAATAGGGCACAAATGGTGCTGGTGGAAGATGTTCAAGTGGACTGACTTACAAATCTGCAAGATCCAAGACACTTCAAGAATTCTCACTATAGGGAAAAATCCTCACTAACGCCAAATAAGTTTGATTGTCAAAATGGGAAAGAAAAAGATACATGAAATCTGTTATTTTTCACAGACATGCAATTAACTTCTTTTCTGTCCTATAAGATCCTCTCTTTAGGTTTTTTTAAACAGAGCACTAAAACAGAACTATTAGGTCAACAGTAAGTCCCAGAGATATGCTACAGATACAAACTAGTAACTGTACAGTGATTCCTCAGATTTCCAACTGTGATTCTTCTTACAAATTAACAGTTTTGTAAAGCTCAAATGTTATAATTACTATTGGTTAGAACTGAATTTCTGCTGGGATTTGAAGCCACTTGCAACTACTACTCTTTGGGAATCAGAAGCCACTGTAAAGAAACGATGTCTGCAAGTGCTGTTCTTCCAAAAGCATAAAACAGAAAAGCTGATCTTATGCTATGAAAAGCACCATAATAAAAAACTCAGTACCATCCATTTGTCTTTCAGTGTGTAGCAGATGTTCCTTGCATTTTACTTATTAAAAAGCAACTTTTGGGATTAATACCAGCATAAAATTAGTAAGTTTTGGCATGTCATTTTCAAGTATTTCTGGGTGGGGGGAGAACCCAAATAGGCAACCATTTGTTGGTATGTGTACAAACAGCAAAGCCGAAAAGCTCTGATCCCCTCCTGGCCCTGCAAAAGTCAACTTACGGTCAGTCTCCTCCTAGTTGGAGGGGAGACCTGAGCAGAACATCGTCTTGATGCAGGGCTACCCTTTCCTTTTCTTGGCTGAGAAGACCTGTGCTATTTGTAGCACTAGTGCTTCTCTGACCCCTCAACGAGCCAATGCAATTTATAATCCCAGCTCTTTTTTCCCCATTATATGAGACAGGCTGAACAGACATAAATGCATGTTTATGGATGCAATAAGAAAACAACACTGGAGATCACCCTGACAAATTTGCAAGAACAGGTTCACCGATTTATACAAGCAGCTCCATCTGGGCTAAATGATGAGGCAGGTCCAACTACACTTTAGATTGCTGTTTAGTATATTCTTCAATACAATGAGTAACTTACTGGCAGGATAGCACAGAAAAACCTAAATTAGGATTTACTTACAATGCTGATCACAGTCTACTCTAGCAAACACCACTTGATTCTTATCTGGATATTCTTCCTTAATTACGTTAGAAGCTTCCTCAAAAATAGGATGCAGCATTTGGCTGAAGCGGCACCTGTGCATAAAACACAAAATCATAACTTCAAAATATTAATTTGAAATGTTTTAACTGATGACTCAGGAAACATTTCAATCTTTGAAAGAAAAAAAAAAAAGAAAGAAAACCTATCAGAAAATAACACTTCGCTGTAATCATCCCAGTAATTGACTGGATAAAAGTAGGTTCAAAAGTAACTCAAAAAATTCAGGTGGGAAAAAAAAGCACGCATTCTAAAAGAATATGTAGTTCAAGATGTGGCCCCCTGCTTTATCTGCTTAAGAAACACCATTAATCCATTATAAGCCTTTAGGAAATATACTCTATTCAGAAAGTCTGTTCTTTTTTTTTTCTACCTGAATTATCCCTGAAGAAGTAATTTTAAAAATATAGTAAAAGAAGTTACTTGGATTACTGAAATTCAAATATTCACCAACAATCACCTTAAAGAAATACAGAAGATATAAGTATTGCTTATAATATTATTGCTCAAGTTTGGTAGAATTTGAACAGACTGCTATTACAGCACCACGAACAAAGAGAATCCCAGGGGTGCTTTCTTCCAGTCATGTCAGATTTTGAAGCAAATCCTCTCTTTCTGCCCATGGCTGTAGGATTGTAAAGATGCTTTGGTGGCTTTGGGGAGTTTAGGGTAACATTAGTGCAAAAGCACATTATTAATATGTCAATAAAATTATTTTATATTCTGTTCTTCTGAACACATGGCAGAATTTTAAATTGAAGGTGTATAACGGCACTGTAGCAGCTGTCAGAATGAGACCCCATGGAACAAACTTGCAATAAAACAGCCTGCACTGAAGCCCTGCTTAAACTTAACAGTGACAGTCTGGGGATGCTGTTATGACAACAGCAAACATTCAAGTGAAGAGGCAGGTTTTGCTCTCAAAATACAAACAGGGCTTAAGGCCGTTTTCTGAAAGAAACCTGACTCTGGGCAGCACAACTGTATGCTACACGTTTATGTAGCTGTTACATATGGCTTCCTTAGCCCTCATTCTTCTCCACCCTTACAGCAGAGTATCTACATCAGCAAAACTGATCTGTTCTCATTCAAAGGTCACATTACATCCTAGGCTGGCAGTACATTATGTTGAGGGGTTATTACTGAATGCCTACATGCAATGATCATAATGAAGGCTGTAATGTTTTAAAATTATGGCCTAGTGTAATGTGAATCAACTTGCAAGCATACACAAATCTTTGAATTCAAAGCAAATCTATTCTAGAGAAGCTTTGATAACAGTAGGGGTTTGTAGAAAGAGTTATGCTAATACCCAGGTCCTAAAACAGGATGCTTGTTACCTTGCTATATCAAGTTTTAAGATACTGTTATCTTCCCTCTAGCACAGAAGTATCAGAACATGGATTTTTAGCCTCCTGAAGTTTGACTTTTGCAAAATCCAAAAATGATTTTTCAATGGCAACACAGACCCCAAATTTCAGAGTATTAAATTTACTTTCCATAGGTTTGCTTTCCTTAGTTATCTTTAATAAAAGCTGTTCAAGCAGTCCATGATCTACCAGGTATCTGCAGATCACAAACTGAAAATAACCATCTTAAAATTTCATTTATTTACGTATTTTAAAAGGCAGCCTTTATAGCATAATTCTATACAGAACAGGTAAGAGATTAGACCTAGTTTCTTACTTAAGTAGTTACTTAGTTGTACTATCATTATAAAGACAGACATTTCAAGCAAATAGCTTACTTGGTAAATGAATACAATCTCTCTAAAGAAAAATTGTATTGGTTTAATTGTGCATAGTATCAATTTAGTCTGTGGTAGCAAATGAACAGCTGCAAACTAATTGAACATAAAAATTGTCCATAAAATTACAGTGGTATATACAAAGGTTACCAAACTGAGTCAGATTGGTATAATGTCTATCTTTATGCAAAGTTTAAATGAAGGCATTAAAAACATCTTTATTGAGGACTTCATTCTGTATGAAGACTGGGTATGTATTTTTCAAAATCACTTTTAAAAAACAATTAAAATTAGCCTGCTGCTAGTTTTATCAATTATCAGCAAAGGCAAAGTGTGAATTTTTCATGTAAAGCTCTGTGTGCTTGCTATTTCTAGGCCATCCAGACCTACAGACTTCAACATATAGTGGGATGTAAAAGAGGTGAAAGGAGTAAGAAGTCTAATCACCTACATGACCTTTGATTCTGAAGGCCAACTTTTATGGTAACACAGCAAAACAGCAGGGAGAGGAGTATTTAAAGTGTAGTACTTAGCTTTATAATATAAAGCAATATGTAAACCGATTTACAGCCTAGATTACTTTAAGGAAGACAGAAAATTTTTCTAATCTCATCTTCTATATCAATTTGCATGTTAAATTTTATTTCCTCTGAATACTTCTCTGGTTTCTTCCTTGCTAAAGATTCTTTTGAAAATATTAATGGTGAAGCAGAACAGAATATTTAAAATTACTTCTTACACAATTTAAAAAAAAGGGGTATGGTGCTTAAATTATTTCTAACGATGATTTTGTATGCAAGTTTTTTGTTTTTTAAAATATAATTTCAAGTGAACAGTTGCCTCTAAGTATGTCTTTCACAACATCTAACCAACCTGGCCTGACATTCTTTCCGTTTCCAGTTGCTTAGATTTCATCCCTCAAATATAATTTCTCTCATTCTTCCCCTGGAAGGTCTTCCAGATTAGAGAAGGATTTGATTTTTAGTGTAATTTCAAGCCTTTTTCTTTCTAGCACACACATGGGACCAACATAGAAGAAAACAGAAAAACTGAGCATTTGGACTATCCTATGTTAAGGAGCAAAAATTTAATTAAATCTGTCTTGCTGGGGGTGGGGGGGCTGAATCAATTACATAGCATGTTATTCCATATTACTATAGAAGCCTTTTTCCTCTGATAGGAGCCCTGAATGAAACAAAATGTGGCAGAACAACAGAAGGAGAAGTAATCGGGACATAAAAAACCACCAGGAAAAGACTAGTTTGAAAGCAACATACCACTGTATTTTCAATTAGAAAACTATAGCCAAACATGTCAGTTTTCAAAAGACAGAAGTTTAAACAGAAAAAAAAAAAAGGTTGTATGACTTACCAATCAGCATAAAAATTAACTAAAGCAACATCTGCATTGTCTGAAAGGAAAGAAGAAAAAAACCCATGTCACACTGTGAGGAAAACTTCTTTGTGCTTTTTTCTGAGATTATAAAAATATACACAAAAACTATGAAAGCAAATATTTCTAGGTTATTCAGCATACAGCTTAGTCTGATTGCTAGAAAACTGCTGGGATAAATCTTATCTGAAATATAATCTATATCAAATGGAAAAATGATGAAAGAGGCCTTCAGTCAAGTATTTTATTGACTTTATTGATATATTAGACATCAAAAATGTCAATACTTAAGGTATTAGGACATAAAAGAAGTAAATAAGTGACACGAGACAAAAAGTAATTCTGGATTTAAAATTAAGGCACTCAAAGCCAGAAGTTGTACTCTAGTATATCTTTTAAACATTATCTAGATTATACATAAGTGTTAAAAAACAGTTAAAAGCTGAAAATGTCAACAATTTGGGTCAGAAGAACAACCAACATGCAGCCTGCCCTGTGCAACTTGCTCTGGTCAGTCTTTACCTGCCTTGATTGCTAAGAAGCTGGATACTAAGGCAAAAGTTAGCAGAGAAATTTTCAGTCCCCAAAAAAGAAAAATGCTAAGGGACACCTGAAAAAAAATGCAATACTATAGGGATATATGAGATAGTGAAATATTTTTCATATACAAAAAAAAAAAAAAAAGAGGAAAATATATCAAAACTAGAAAGACAAATCTCTTGCCCAAAAATAAATTGTGATCTTTACACAATGTAACAACCATCATGTACATTAATTTTTAGTAGTAGTAGTAGTAGTAGCAGCAGTAGCCTAGGCATTGAAAAAAAACCTTGAAATAAATACTGGAACTATAGAATAGCAGCCACAGCTTTACAAAGCAAAAATGTTTCTAGATGAATTTGCACTATTGACAAAGTTACAAAGCAGTTACAAGTGAAAATTAAGATGTTGGAAACTTGGAAAAGACAACATGCTGGAAAAGATGACTCTCGAGAAGGCTGGGAACAACTACAGTTTTGACTAAAATTATGATATTAAGATTTTCATTATCAGCAAGGAATGCAAGTGGTGAACAGGAAATTAATAAGCACAGAGAAATTCAGGGTTACCTCCAAGGCATAAAGTATTTATTGAAAGTAATAGAATAAATTTCAAAAGTAGTAATACTTGGCATATATTCACTTTTATGAATAACATTTTACAGAAGGCTTCTATGTTTTCCACTGCATAAAAGGTATTTACAAACAGATCTTATATCACCTAATCATTCACTACACAAAGCAATCCTGCAATAGTAGGCAGATTCTAGCACAGATTTAAATAAAATATAAAGATTTTTTCTGAATATATTTGAAACAATGCAATAACTCTTTTCCTGTGAAAACAGCCAGATATAGGCAAATTGCATCCTTTTCAGACAAAAAGCTTTCAGACAAGGAATACACATCTGTTTAATTTAGGAGTCTTTTTTCTACGAACCACCAGAATCAGGACAACGCTTAATCTAAGAACAACATAGCTGAACAAGCAAGGTAGTTAAGGCCCATTACCACGGGTTTCAGTTGCTGCTATTTTTTGGGGAACTTTTAAAATGTTCTCTTGACAGGTTCTGGTTATGTAATCAAGCATTCCCATCCACAAGCAAGATACCAGGTATTCTTCTTAGACACCTCAAATCCTCATTGATATTTTACAATGAAGTAATTTGTTAGGCGATACATTAGTTCAGACAGCTAAGCTTGATCACAGGCATTTAAAACTTCTATGCTGACTACAATTCATATTTTCAAAGCTAAGGTATGCATATTCACTTGACATTGCAAGATTCATACAGATAAATGACTGCAAGACGTACGAAGGAAAAAAAAATATCCAAGTACTCACTCAAAATGTCATCTATATTTCCACTATCTAGACTTGTTATTTCACTTCTTGTCGGATTAAAAAGCCAAGACACCTAAAAAGATAAAGCAAACCCATAAGGTATGTAAACCTTCAGCAATAAAGCAACAACATATCTATGGTTTTAAATGTTGCAGTTCAAAAGCTGGAGAAGAACAGTAAAATAATTCAGTCAATGAATTTCAGATGACAGCAGTACTACACATCTACAAATAAACTCTGTTTACAGATATAACATACTTTCACAGTTAAAGCAAAATTGGCTACATTGGGAGAAATGTTACAGGTAGATTTTGTACCTTTAAGAATAACTTCTATTCATAAATCCACTCTGAAGAAAGAGATGAAACCCCCATTTGCACCACCTAACAATATCACTATAACCCACAAGTGCGTAGGCACAGCGGTTTCACCCAGAGACAATTAATTCCTTCTGTCACTTAAAGGGCTTGTCTGGCTGAAAAGTTTCTCATTAGGTCAAGTTTGCAGTTGCTTCCATTTTTATTGCTGTTGGTTGATGAGAAGCTGCACATGAGCTGGCAATGTGCGCCGGAGGTGATTCTGCCCCTCTGCTCCACCCTTGTGAGACCCCACCTGGAGTCCCGCATCCAGCTCCGGAGTCCTCGGCACAGGAAATACATGGACCTGTTGGAGAGGGTCCAGAGGAGGGCCATGAAGATGGTTAGAGGGCTGGAGCACCTCTCCTGTGAAGAAAGGCTGAGACAGTTGGGGTTGTTCAGCCTGGAGAAGAGAAGGCTCCAGGCAGACCTTATTGCAACCTTCCAGTACCTAAAGGGAGCCTTCAAGAAAGGCTGGAGAGGGCCTTTTTACAAGGGCATGTAGTAGTAGGACAAGGTGTAATGGCTTTAAACTAAAAGAGGGTATATTTAGACTATTCTTCACAATGAGGGTGGTGAGGCACTGAAACAGGTTGCCCAGAGAAGGTGTGGATGCCCCATCCCTGGAAACATTCAAGGCCAGGGTGGATGGGGCTTTGAGCAACCTATGGAAGGGGTTCCTGCCTGTGGCTGGGGGTTGCAACTACATGATCTTTAAGGTCCCTTCCAACCCAAACCATTCTATGACTCTCTGAAAACAGTTTAAGTATATCTAAGTCAACTAGCTACCGTCTTTTTTCTCCTTCTGTACTTTTTCTTGACACTGCTTCAGTCCCAGCACGTGATTGGCATTACCAGACTATAAAAACTGAGACACCATGTCAGCCACATCATTCAGTTACAAAGCAACACATGTATTACTCTTCAGGCAGCTATCACAGCAGTATGTAGTTTTATGGAAGAGCACTGTCATATTCACTGCAACAGGCCCAATTCTTTTATCTCAAAATGCAGCAGGGAAAAAGGAGGTAGAGTTTGCTGCTCTGTCCCAGGTGAGAGAAGTGCCAGTGAGTTACAAGTTATTTTTGCTTTGAGAGAGATAAGCACACAAGTTTTTGAGAAGGACAGTACAGATTCAGTTCTGGGATGTGAATGTTTCCATCCTGAGCAACCTGGTCAGAAAGTCAGTATTTCCTTGTTCCCAAGCCAGGGACAGGGTTTGGACCAGACACTCTACTGAGATGTCTTCCAGCCTCATGTTTTCAATGAATCTATGGTCACTCAGGTGACAGAGATGGCAGGAAAGGAAGAGGAAGGTTTTCAGTAGAGGGCTGACAGGAACACACAGGTCAAGGAGTCAGGCAGAGACCCCAGATTGACAATGATAACTGAAGAATTAGTCCTTGCCCTAAGATGCAGAGGCACTCAACATACACACTATCGATATTCCCGGACACTTAGGTTACTCCTTGCAGCTGCAAAGAAAATCTGCTTATGGCTAGAAAGGCAGAACTGACTTAAGATACCAAGGAAAAACTTAGCTGAAAGCACAAAGAGCATCCAAATAACACCACACAGAGCAGCTGGATAGAAGGATCCAGTGATACGAGGGTCTCTACGGAAAAGCCTGAGAACTTTCCTGAACCTATATTACAACTATGACAAGCAGCAAGCCTCCAGGGCACACCTGCCTTTAACACTGTTTACAATTTATCAAATGACTAAATCCATGTCAAACATCAAGTTTTCTAACATTTGTTGCAAGTGTATATCAGATATTGACCTCAAAAAAAAAAAAAGCCAAACTGGATGCCTACTTTCATTAAGATCAGCTTCGAAAATTGGGGGAGCCTTCTGCAGCTAGACACTGTCAATAACTCTCAAACTATTCCTGCAAATGGCAGGCAGGCGAGATTTGCAGCAATCATTTGCAATTCCTTCCGATTTATGGATCACTAACCACTTTTCAGTGAAGATACCGATCCTTTCGTATTTCCCACATAGAGGCCGCTGGGTAGCATATACACTGCACCTTACACTCTACAGGCTGAAAACACACCAGCTGTTGTAATACAAAGTATGTTCCAGTGCTTCTCACTTGGTAATTTGACCAGATCCTAATCTTATATGCAAGTCAAAGATCTGTGACGGAGTTTGCACAGCCTTCCTGCGGCACTTAAACAGCCCGACACAAATGTCTGAACTGTGGCTTTTAAGATGACTCTAGAGAAACAAAACTAACGGTTGAACTGTAAGGTCCACAGTCGAAACTAACAGCATAGCAACATGGTCTGCCAAAAAGCATCTGATGAAGCAAGCTCTGCAATGCACAAGTTGCGGCATACCAGTATGGGGGAAGTTCCTTTGAAGATGCTGGGGGTGTTGACTGCTGAGCAGCAAGAAGGGAGGACCCTGCCTTCAGTCTTTGCAGGAGAAGCTATGTATACGGACCCTGGTCCACATCGGTCAGATTACCCCCCAGATGAGTGACAGCTGACAGCAAAGCTCAGCGCAGATACCTTCCCATGACCCCTTGGGTGGTGCATGGGATGACAACTTCCATGGTGTTGCTATGGGGAGCTGCTGGTAGTAGTACTTATATTTGTAGTAATGGGTCAGTGAATGAGCTGGCATGGTTTTTGTTTGTACACACATGCTGTTTTGTTGCAAGTGTTAGGTTAGATGTAATGTGTGTACAATTGAAGCAGTAGCTATAATTAACAATAACAGCTGGAATATTGCTCTAGGCAATAAAGGACAGTATAACTCAATGTTCACTTAGTTAGCCATCATCCCGATCCTACCACAGGTGACTTTGCAAACTCATCCAAGCTCTAAGGCTTCAGCTGCCCTGCAAGGTCTCAAGAACCTCTGATCGTACCCTTGAAGACCACAGAGTTACTTATCCTGCTTATAATTTTGGACAATGCTTGTTTACACAGAAAATCCACACAAGTCTCTAGAAAGCAGGAACTTTTTAGCTGCTGCACACAGTTCTGCATCAGCATTCATACCTGGAACGAATTTCCGCAGTAGGTCTTGGTGAAACTATTTTCACAGGAGCTCAGCAGTTTGTATTGTCTAAACATACCAAATGGGTAAGATACCAATTTCTTAAACCCACATGGCTTTCTCTAATACAATTTTAGAGCAGCAATACGAATCTTATCTAATAGGATAAGTTACACATAAATTAAACATAACATAGATAAGCATGTTATTTGCAATCAGGAAATAGGCTACGTTATTCAACAATTATACTGATATATCCTGATAGATCAGGAACGTAGTTTCATTTGTAGATTGCTACAATACACCTTAACTTGCAGTGCAAATATTTAACTGCAAAAATAAAATCATCTACTTCGATGTGCTATGTACAGAAAAAGCAAATTAAAAGTAATACTTTACAGCATGAATAAAATTTTTTATTACTTTCTTAACTCTTATTGTGGAAAAATGTGGTGCAAGCTGCAGGTACTGAAACAAAGACCCCAAACGTCTTCATATATTGAAGGTGTATATCCTATTCCCCCTTTATATTAAACAGTAGTGGAAAAATACTGAGAGAAAGAATGTCTTTCCCCAAAAGTTGCACAAAACCTGAGATAATAGAAATACTTTTTCCACTAGAAGTATGAAAATGTATGTTGTGTCAAAATACATTCATAATCACATTCTTAAACATTTTATACTGACTAAATAATTGTGGGTGCCAAAACCTTCATAACCAGTAGACAGACTCAGGGGAAAAAAGCATTCCTTGAAGAAATGTCAATAAATATGCAAGACTCACTTCAGCTGAAGCTTTCATAAAGGTATAATGCCCGTAAGGAAGAAAACACATCCTTTTGACCCAGTAATCTTGCTGTCCCATGAGATGCAAGAGGGTTTATGATATTACTAGTATTAATATTTAACATGATGGAATACAAATTATTATTTAAATTGCTAAGAAGCTACACTGTTTTGAGAATATTTTCTGACCTTTGATGAGGCCTGTACTTGATACCCACAGGCAGAAAACGAGACATTTTTGAGGAAATAGTTTTTGAATGTCAGCTGTACGCTTTATAAAACAGATATTGAACACATGTTCTGAAAAGCATACTGGCTAAAAAAATGTCTTCCGAATTTTTTTACTTTTAAATGCAAACTTTGCATTCCACTGCTTTACATCAGAAGGACACGTGGATGACTGCTCACATTTGTAACTGGGGCGGGGGGGAGGAAAATAAATTTTCCAACTCACAAGATAGCTACAAGCTCACTGAAGAAAGCATCTTGCAAAAATAATTCAAAAGGAAAACTGGCTATGTAAGTACACCTGAAAACAACTCAGGTTTATATTGCATAAAGTTAGCTGTATTTTTAGATTTGTATTTTTTTAAATGCTTAAACTGCTAAAATCTGAAGGTAAAATATTAAAATACTACATACTTCAGTGTGAAACTGCACAAGTTAGGTAAGTGTGTTTATAATCCACTCACAACCGTTTAACACTATAGAAAAATGACAAAACAAACTACAGACTAAACCAAATTAACGCAGAAAGCTTTATACGCTTCGAGAACACATTGGTGAGGGGGAAAAAGTCAGGAACTGAACAATGCATTCACAAAGATAAAATTTAGCTCACATGCAGGGAGGGAAGAAGAGGAGAAGTCATATGTATTTTTACTCTTCTGGTCCTCAAACACTGTCAAATAAAGCAGGAATATATCAGCTCAGGTTCCTGAAAGTTTCTGAAAATAACACTGCTCATGTTTTTACTGGGAAGTTTAATTAGTACAGAAATCCTAGTATTTCTGATCCAGTTTTGATCCTCACTTGAAGTTAGCAAATGACTTAGCCACTTCTGCCAGGAGCCAGTACTAGTCGCTTCTGAGGAGTAACTACAAATTAGCTGACATTTATCCTCATTTTTTCCAACCAAAGACCTCAAAGCACTGCCCAAAAGACAACATTATCCTCCTCTGACATGCAGCACAAGGCTACACAAGCAGCCTTACACAAAACAAAATGCCTGGACAAAACCTGTTCCATTCATCCCCAACAGCAGACCTCTGCCAGGCTTCATATCCCTTTCACAAGGAGGAAATAAAAGCACACCCAGTTTCAACTCATCTTCTGCTGACAGTGTTGCTGTTCAGTTGCCACTACACACACACAATTAATTCAGGAGATTCAGGTCAAGCTTTTATCAACATTTTACTCTTACCAGCTCGTGCTGTTAGTTCTTTAATTGCCAACTGGACAGAAGATACAGGCCTATAGGTTTAGTGGTATTTTCCAAGTTTATCATACTTTATACACCACTTTCTTGCAGAGTTTAACTGTGCACAATCTTAAAGCTACAAGAAAAGGAAAAAACACAGGTCTCTTGCATTTTAGTTCTCCATGACTTTATTTTTACTTGACATAGTGAAACTGAGGTCCTCATTTCCAGAGCAAACTATCTGAAGAATATAGAAAATCCCTTCTTGGAGCGTTATGACTTCTAATTAGTACTACACCTGCAAGGCAGTCAACAAGAACAGCCTTCATTTTCAGTTGCTAAGCTTTCCATTTACCTTTTCCTCCTGCTGGGAAATCCTAAAGGCACATGACATGACATCTTTCTGCTCTACCACAAAATTATTTCATGTTTGGCAACCAGCTCTAGCCGCATCTAATCCAGACTGACATGTCGAAGTTACTACCTGAATTCTTAGCCCCACAGGACTCTGCGGCTGACTTCCAGTCCCCAAGTACCTTTTTCTTTATGCATGCTGCTAATCTGCTGCAGCTCTGAAGTGTGCATTAAACTCCTGGACAACAGGAAGCAGACGGGTTTACAGCCTGCTGCAGGATGATACAAATTGAAAGCAATCCCAGGAGGCAGCAACGCCAAAGCTGACAGACATTGTAAGAGCCCCTGAAGTTTGGCTTCAGAACCATCAATCAGGAGCATCTTGCTGGCTGGCAGCATTCCCAGAAGCCCTACAATGAACCATGAAGTTCAAAGCAGAGAGAGATAACAGTAAATAGAGAATGGTAGGGGAAGGGGGGAAAAAAAAAAAGAACATTATTCACCCACTCAGTGAGAGCAGTTCAACTCTTAATTGTCACCACTTGATTCTAGACTGCCTGAAAATTTTCATGATTTAGTCTAACTGCTGTCATGCCTGTTGATTAAGCAGGGTTTTTATTATTCATGTAAGCTACTTTCATTATAAGACTATGACACAAAACTACATTAGTTCAAAACACTAACTGACGATCACTTCTGAGACATATTTAAGTTTTCATAGCAATTTTTAAATGGATACAAAAAAATCCTTTTCCTATTATTTTTCTCTCAAGAGCCATATCTTAAACTTAATCAGGGAAATTTAAAACACTCAAAAGGAAGCTACTGAAAATAGATTTAAGGATTGCAGTTACTAACTTCTGTGAGAACAGAGATAAAATCTACGCAAGTTGAAATACAGATAATATATATTAGATACGTAAACTTACTTCTTTAGCCTTGATAGACAGTTCAATTTCATAATGATGTAGCCAAACAGTGCTATAACTGCACAGAGCTGGGTAGAGACACCATCGTATTACAAAGAGGTGGCACGATTTTTTTTCTTCCACATATGTTGTCATCTACTCCCATTTTAAGTGTCTGACAGGAATATTTGGTGTAGGTACATGTACTACTAATATTGAAGAACTTTTTGCCAATGAAAATGTTGGAAAAAAAACTATTCACCATTTATAATGGTATCTTTGAAATTATATTGATTTGACATTCCAAATCAGGAAAAAAAGTTCAGTTGTAGGAACCATTAGCTGTGAGTTTAACACACAAGCAAAGGAGTTGTAGGATTGTTGTGTATGGCTGGGAATGATTCATAGCCTTAGAGATATCTCAATGGCCTGTTACTACAGCACTTAAAGTTCCCAGAAAAATGGGTAAATTATCCTCTCAACAGTTTGTGAACTATTATTAGAAGAAACAAGATGTTAATT